CAGATGGGGGAAGAATTGACCAGAGACAGCAGTGCAAGCCAGGTCAGGTCTAGTGGAGGTGGGTGAGAGTGCCCTGGGGCATAGACCTGGGCGGGTCTGCCACCTCTTGGCAGGGACAGTCTCTTTTTATGGTCTCAATCGATCGATCGAGCCATCGTAGTGGGAAGGTGGGGATAACTTTGCAAGGTTGGGTCCGGATTGAGGGGCTGGTCGTTTCTCAGAAATATAGAGCGTCCATCAGCCACAAGGATTGCTGGACGTGGCGCCAGAGGCGGGTCCAGAATGTCTGCTTCTATCATAAAAGCTTATTGGGAGGGGCCAGCAGATGGCATAGTGGTTAAGGCGCTGGACTCCCACATGGCTGTCTGCAGTTCAAGTCCCGGACCTGGTGACTTATACTACACATGCCGGGCGTGTGTGTGTGTGTGTGTGTGTGTGTGTGTGTACGCCCAAAATCCCAAGAGGAGAAGGGATTGCGGAGTGACCATCTCCCCTTGGGAGGGGATGTTGATTTCTCACTCTGCCTGCCCTAGAGAATGCACACACCCTATAGCACAAATCTCTCTTTAAAAGGGAACCAGCTGTTAGCGTAATGGCCATGTCGCTGGACTCCCACATAGTTGACCACGGTTCGCATCCCGGACCCGGTGGCTTAAACTCACGCCGGGCGCATGTGCGTGCGTGCCCAAGATCCCGAGAGGAGAATGGAGGAGAAGGGATTGCAGCATTGCCCACCCCCCCTGGGGGGTGATTTCTCGCTTTCTGTCTCTATGTCTCTCTCTCTCTCTGGCGAGCGCACGCGCCCTATAGCAAAAACCTCTCAAAAAAAAAAAAAAAAAAAAGCTTATTAGGAGGATCAGCAGGTGGCATGGTGGTCAAGACACTGGATTCCACATGGGCAACCAGGGTTGGAGTCCCCGACCCAGCAGCTTTGGGAGTCATCCAGGAGCACGTTCATGTGTGCCCACGACCCTGAGGGGGAGAATGGAAGAGAGGGGATTACGATGTGGTCATCGATTCTTCACTGTCCTTCTCTCTCTCTGTCTCTGTCTCTCTCTCTCTGACAAGTGTACACACCCTATAGCAATAAGTTTTTTTTTTTAAAAAAGGGCTTTGTTCCACAGTGGGCTTCCGTCCCTGTTGTAGGTAACAGGGGACACCGGTGGGCAGCACGGCCCCCAATCTCGTGAAGTGGAGAGAGAAAGATACGTAATGAAGAGACAGAAGGACAGGGCGTCAGGGTCCAGCAGATGGCGGAATGGCTATGTCGCTGGACTCCCACTTAGTCGACCACGGTTCGAGTCCTGGACCCAGTGGCTTGAAACTCACACCAGGCGTGTGAATGTGTGTGCCCAAAATCCCGAGAGGAGAATGGAGAAGGGATTGTGGCATGGCCATCGCCCCTGGAAGGGGGGGGGAGGGATTTCGCGCTTTCTGTCTCTCTGTCTCGCCAGAGAGCGCATGCACCCTATAGCAAAATCTCTCTTAAAAAGAAAAAGGAAAGAAAGCTTTAAAAAAAAAAAAGGGGGGGGGGGCGTCAGGGCTGCAGTGGCCAGGGGCGGGGAGGCCTCTGAGCCAGGTGTGGGCTCCCAGGTGGCCTCTGCAGGGTCACGTGTGAGCGGAGCTGATCAAGCTCAGACAGGAGAGTAAGGAGGAGCCTCCAGGCGGGGGAACAGCAGGCTGCACGGTTGGGGCACGCAGGGGCAGAATGTGGCCGGCCTGGCCGGGCAGGCAGGGTTGGGATGGAAGAGACTGAGTGTCACGCTGGAGGGAAGGAATCAGCTGTGTGTTAAAAGGCCACTCGGGGGACCAGCAGCCAGTGTAATGGCTATGTTGCTGGACTCCCACGTAGTCGACCGCGGTTCGAGTCCCGGACCCGGTGGCTTAAAACTCACGCCGGGCGCATATGCGTGCGTGCTCAAGATCCCGAGAGGAGAATGGAGGAGAAGGGACTGCGGCATGGCCATACCCCCTGTGGGCGCTTTCTCACTTTCTGTCTCTCTGTCTCTCGCTCTTTCTGGCAAACGCACATGCTCTATAGCAAAAACCTCTCAAAAACAAAAACAAAAAAACAACTCATACCAGGCATGTGTGGAGGAGAAGGGATTGCAGTGTGGCCATCCCCCCTGGGGGGTGATTTCTCACTTTCTGTCTCTCTGTCTCTCTCTGTCTTTCTGGTGAGCGCACATGCCCTATAGCAAAAATCTCTCCAAAAAAAAAAGAAAGAAAGAAAAGAAAAAGAAAGTGATAAAAAGGAATTATTATTTTAATTTAATTTATTTTTTATTATTATTCAATTGAACCAGAGAGAGAGAGAAAGCAAGCTGCCAGGTCCGGGACTTGAACCACAGCCTGCCATGTGAGGATCCATTGCCTTCACTGCCACGCCACCTGCCGGCCCTGATCGAGGCCAGGGTGCTTTCTGAAAGTACAGCCACGGTCAGCCGTGGAGTGAGGCAGGCAGCTCCCAGTTTCTGTCCTTTTTCTTTATCCATGACGAAGCACGTGCGTGTCAGACAGAAAGAAATATGAGCACCGTCTCCAGGATCTGGTCACGGTCCTCTTCCGCCGGTCCTCCGGCCTGGAGGGTCTTGGGCGCCCATCTGTGTGCCTGGCATGTTGCCGGCTTCCATGTGGGATCCAACTTCTCTCTCTTTCTCCTTTTTATTTATTTTATTCTTTTAGATTTTGGTATAGGACATTGCTCGCCCGAGAGACAGAAAGCGAGAAATCACCCCCCAGGGGGGATGACCACACCACACTCCCTTCTCCGTTCTCCTCTCAAGATCTTGGGCACACATGCACATGCGCCCAGCATGAGTTTAAGTCACCAGGTCCGGGACTCGAACTGCTGTCAACTATGTGGGAGTCCAGTGACGTAACCAATACACCATCTGCTGGTCTCTCTCTCTCTCTTTTATTTTCATTTTTTTAAATTTGTTATAGGGTGTGTGCACTCGCCAGAGAAGAGACAGAGACAGAGGGAAAATAAACAAGCACCCCATCGGAGGTGGCCACACCACGGTCCGTTCCTTTCTCGGGATTTTGGGCATGCACACACATGTGCCTGGTATGTCTTTCAAGCTGCTGGGTCTGGGACTCGAACCACATGGTCCATGTGGGATCAGCCGCTTTAACCGCCATGCCGCTGGCTGGCCTAAGAGAACCACCTCTTGAGCATCTTTTACCACTGCAGGGTTAGGCTGGCCTTTGATTTATTTCAGAACACTGGCCTTGAAACTCCATGGCAGATGGCGGAATGGTTACATTGCTGGACTCTCACATCGTCGACCGTGGTTCAAGCCCCGGACCCGGTGGCTTAAAACTCACTGATGCTGAGTGTATGTGCGTACATGCCCAAAATCCCAAGAGGAGAATGGAGGAGAAGGGCCTGCAGCGTGACCATCTCCCGGGGGGGGGATGGGGTGGGGGGTGGGGGATGATTTCCCGCTTTCTGTCTCTCTGTCTCTCCAGTGAGTGCCTGCACCCTATAGCAAAAATCTCTCTCTTAAAAAATGTAACCGTGTGGCGATTCAGTTAGCAAATTGGAATCACTGTTAAATATCGTCAGGCCTTACCTTGGGGTGCTGCTGGGCCTGAACCGAACATCTAGCCTCTGAATGCTCTGACCACCCTGGGCACCCCTTGGGTTGGTAAAGTGGTGGCAGACAAAAACAGTCAGCCCGGCTAGATTCCAGGAGTCTCCTGAGATGTGGCCCTCTTATTGCTCAGCGGGTTTTGCTCTGGTTCCTGGTAGAATGTTCCAGCAAGTTGGCAAGAGTCCATGGGAACAGCCATTGCCCCCAGGCCAGCATCCCCTCAACAGTCGGTCTGCTGGGATCCAAGCATCCCAGAGTCACCTGCTTGGCATATTTTGCTTTGGCCCCAGAAAGGCCCAATAAACCTGTCCCTGGGAGCCACCAGCCCCAACGGGACGGAAGCAGGCTGGGTTTGTCGGGTGAGACACCTCCAGACCAGTGTTAACTAACACACCTAACCACGCTGTACCACGTCGTACAACCTGCTCCCCCGTTTTACCACAGAGATCTCCCTCATCTCACTCCCAGTCCTTGTCTTTCAGTGTTCAAAGCTTGCAGTGTGTTTTCCTGTTCAGCCATGGTTGTTTTTTTATGTTTTTGTTTTTTGTTTTTCAGAATTACTTATTTAATTGTATTTGTCACTATTACTATTTTTTTTTTTTTAATTTGTTACAGGACACATGCACTCAACAGGGACAGGGAGAGAGAGAAAGTGAGAAAGCAAGCCACCAGGTCCGAGAATCGAACCGTGGTCGGCCATGTGGGAGTACCTAGTGCCCTTAACTGCCACACCATCTGCTGGTCCCCAAGTCATGATTATTATTTATTTATTTATTAAAATTTTGGAGAGGTTCTTGCTATATATATGCGCTCTTCAGAAAGAGACAGAGAGACAGAAAGCGAGAAATCATCCCCAGGGGGGATGGCCACACTGCAGTCCCTTCTCCTCCATTCTCCTCTCGGGATCTTGGGCATGCACGCACACGCGCCGGTGTGAGTTTAAGCCACCAGGTCCAGGACTCGAACCGCAGTCGACTACATGGGAGTCCAGTGACATAGCCATGATGCTAACTGCTGGTCCCATGATTATTTTTTTTTAAACCGATATGATTGTAATAAATGCATTGTCGTACCCTAATGAAGCCCTTTGAAACACACTGCAAGTGAGCTTTTCAAAGACCACTCTCTGGTTTTAGCATGTGTGTCATCCGTTTTTTTGTGTGTCTTTCCCAACCTGGGTCAACCCTTGGAATAAACCTCACAGAGACCCCGGGGTCCCCAGGGTCCGTCCCATTACTTAATTCTCCCCAGAGAGGCAGAGGGGTCTCCTTTGAGAGCCAGTCAGATCCTGCCTTCCTCGGCACCCCACTCTGTCAAGTGAGTAACTTGTCTTTCTTTCTTTTTTTGTTTCTTTTCTTCTTCTTTTTTTTTTTCTTCTTCTCCTTCTCCCGAACTTTCCAGGTAAAAGTACACCTGTAAGCCAGCTTGGTTCCGCAGACTTTGCTGAACCCCCCGATCCATTCCAGCCACTGGGGGCTGACAGCGGCGACCCGTTCCAAAATAAGAAGGGGTTTGGGGACCCGTTTAGTGGAAAGGATCCGTTTGTCCCCTCCTCTTCAGCTAAACCTTCTAAGGCCTCTTCTTCGGGTTTTGCAGACTTCACCTCTGTAAGTTGAGTTCACTCCGCCTCCGCGCCACCCTCTCCCACCCTCCGCTTACAGCTTCTCTGGGTTTGTTTTTTGTTTGTTTGTTTGTTTGTTTGTTTTCATGGCCAAAGGGCGCATTTGCTTGCCAGAGACAGAGAGAGGGAGAGGGAGGGAGAAAGCCCCCCATGGGACGTGGTCACATCCCAATCCCTTCTCCATTTCTCCATCTTGTTAGGATTTGGGGTATACACGCACACGTGCCTGGTGTGTTTTCCAAGGATGCAAACCTTGGTCAGCCACGTGGGTATCTGGCTCCTGTATCGATGGGGTCAACTGTGGGATTTTTGTTTCGTTGTTTTTGGGGTTTTTTTTTTTTTTTTTTTTTTTGTCTTTGTCAGGGAATACCTCTCCCGGCTTATTGACATGTCTGGGTACCTCCTCCTGTCTTTCCCTGGTGTTATTTATTCTCTACCGCTGCTTCTGTAAGAAAAACCGTTTTTCAATAAAAAGAAAAAGAGCTACAGTTCGGATACTGTATGACAAAGAGCACGTTTCTTCCAGCAGTGACAGAGCAAGGCCCGGTTCTGTCCTTCACGCTTGACACTTGGTATCATTTCTGTCAGCACAGAGGCTGTGCGTTCTCTGATTTCTGGAAGCCAAGCTTGGTACGCACTTCCAAAGTATGTAAACAAGATTACGAAGGTGACACGAGGGTCGTGCTGTCCCCAGAAAAGTCTCTGCACGAGTCTGGGCAGACCCACCCAAATGCAGTTTGAAGTTTGAATCAGAGGATCCAGGCATGACACCCAAAGCGAGATGAATTTGATTTTTTTTTTTGAAACTTTATTTCATTTTATTTATTCATTCACTTATTTTAATTTGACCAGAGAGAGACAGGCTCATACAGGGAGAGAGAAAGAGACAGAGAGAGGGAGAGGGAAAGTGAGAAAGCAAGCCATCAGGTCCAGGACTCGAACCGTGGTTGGCCATGTGGGAGTGTCCAGTGCCTTAATCACCATGCCACCTGCTGGTCTCTGAGAAATTAGATTTTTTAAAAATTGTCTGCGCTCACCAGAGAGAGAGAGAGAGACAGCACCCTTCCAACGGGGTATAGTCACTCTACAATCCCTTCTTTTTTTTTTTTGGAGAGGTTTTCGCTATAGGGCGTGTGCGCTCGCCAGACAGACAGAGACAGAGAGACAGAAAGCGAGAAATCACCCCCCAGGGGGGATGGTCATGCCGCAATCCCTTCTCCTCCATTCTCCTCTCGGGATCTTGGGCACGCACGCACACGCGCCCGGCGTGAGATTTAAGCCACCGGGTCCGAGACGCGAACCACGGTCGACTACGTGGGAGTCCAGCGACATAGCCATTACGCTAACTGCTGGTTCCCTACAATCCCTTCTTCAGTTCTCTAACCTGTTGGGATTTGAGGCATGCACGCACACAGGCCTAGCATCTTTCTTTCTTTTTCTAGTTTTGTTTTTTGTTTAAGTTTTTGCCATAGGGCACGTGCACTCACTTGGGAGAGACAGAGACAGAAAGAGAGAAAGTGAGAAATCAACCCCCAGGGAGATGGCCATGCCACAGTCCCTTCTCTTCCATCCTCCTCTTAGGACTCTGGGCACGCACACACGTGCCTGGTGTGATATTCAAACCACCAGGTCTGGGACTCGAACCATGGCTGACTATGTGGGAATCCATCTCCTTAACCACCACCTGCCGGCCCCGCACCGGGCATATTTTTCAAGCCACTGGGGCTGCGATTCAAACCGCAGTCTGCCATAAAGGATCTGGCTCCCTTAACCAATAGGCTTCAGAGACATTTACAACGTTCATTTCAATGACCGACAAGGAAAGCAAAACAATTCTATCTTGGAATTGACGAACTCAAAAACCCTTTGCTTTTTTTTTTTTTTTTTTTTTTTTTTTTGCCAGAACCCAACAGCTGAGCCCTAAAAGCCGTTTAGTCCAAGTAGAAGTCCCTTTTCAGAAAGGCATCTCGAAGTTTTGAAAGCCAGGCTTTGTTTTTCTCTGTGTGAACGCTATTCCAGCATGTCGTCACGTTAGGGTGTTTTCGCTCCCCTCCTGGGTACAACGAACATCCCGTTCTCCAAATCCTTGAGATGTCGTCCTCCCTGAGTGAGTTACACCACGTGGTATATACCTTTTTTTTCTTTCTTTCTTCTTTTTCTTTTTCCTTTAATTTGCCAGAGGGAACGGACACTTACCAGAGACAGAAAGAGAGAGAAAGTGAAAAAGCATTCCCCATGGGGGCATGGTCACGCTACAATCCCTTCATCTCTCTCCTGTTTTGGGATGTGGGGTATGACACACACATGTACCCACGGTGTTTTTTGGTTTTGTTTTTATTTTTTTGCTATAGGGCGCGTGTGCTTGCCAGAAAGAGAGAGACAGAGAGACAGAATGCGAGAAATCACCCCCCAGGGGGAATGGCCACGCCGCAGTCCCTTCTCCTCCATTCTCCTCTCAGGATCTTGGGCACGCACGCACAGACACCCGGCATGAGTTTAAGCCACCGGGTCCGGGGCTTGAACCATGGTCAACTACGTGGGAGTCCAGCGACATAGCCATTACGCTAACTGCTGGTCCCCCACAACTCTCGGGAATAGAGGAAGAGAAAGGATTGTGGAATGGCCATTCCCCCGGGGTGGGGGCGTGGTGATTTCTTCTAGAACCTTCTAACTCACCAGCCCTGAATTTCCATCCACAGGCTGTTTGTACTCGTAGTGGTTCGTGGGCAGGCTCTCCCCTCTCTGGTATTTCGACAGCCCTTTCTGTCTCAGGCAAACGCGTTTCTTAGGAAGTCGCATGAGAGGGTAGCAGAATGGCTTTCTGTTTGCTGGTTTTCTCAGAACTCCTTGTTAAAAAGTAGTGTAGACTAGCAGTTAGCGTAATGGCTATGTTGCTGGACTCCCACGTAGTCGACCGCAATGAGTCCCAGACCCAGTGGCTTAAACTCACGCCAGGCGCGTGTGCGTGCGTGCCCAAGATCCCAAGAGGCGAATGGAGGAGAAGGGATTGTGGCGTGGCCATCCCCCCTGGGGGGTGATTTCTCGCTTTCTGTCTCTCTGGTGAGCAGACACACCCTATAGCGAAAAAAAACTCTCCAAAAAAAAAAAACAGTACAGATAGACAGGTGACGCTGTGCTTGGGTATCAAACCAGAGCAGGTCGGGACCAGCAGTTAGCGTAATGGCCATGTCGCTGGACTCCCACGTAGTCGACCGCGGTTCGCATCCCAGACCCGGTGGCTTAAACTCACGCCGGGCGCGTGTGCGTGCGTGCCCAAGATCCCGAGAGGAGAAGGGAGGAGAAGGAATTGCGGCGTGGCCATCCCCCCTGAGGGGTGATTTCTTGCTTTCTATCTCTCTGTCTCTCTCTGTCTGTCTGGCGAGCGCACGCGCCCTATAGCAAAAACCTCTCCAAAAAAAAAATAAAAACCAGAGCAGGTGCAATTTCAACATCGGAATAAACACAGGAGCGGGGAAGGGAGAGCTAGCATGTCCATGTCATCCGGAGGGTCTGCTGCTTAGACACCTTCGCTCACCGAGGTCCTGTCCCCAGTGAGGAAAGGCGCCTCGCGGGGCTGTCTTTACCACCGAGCCTGCTGAGCCATATAGGCTAAGATTTCGAGCAGGCTTGGGACCAGCAGTTAGCGTCATGGCTATGTTGCTGGACTCCCAGCGACCGCAGTTCGAGTCTCGGACCCGGTGGTTTAAACTCACGCCGGGTGCGACTACTTCACATCCGTCCCGAGGGGGCAGCATTCTCGCATCCTCTGTGTCTCAGATCCACAGTTGGCACGAAGAGGGATGCAGAAATGGTGGTTTCTCCAGTTGCTACCAATCTGAGGTGTTGTTTCGTTTTTCGGTTTTGTTTTTGAATTTGCTATAGGATGCATGCATTCCCTGGAGAGAGATATGGGGGAGAACGAGAAATCACCCCCCAGGGGGATGGCCACGCCGCAATCCCCTCTCCTCCATTCTCCTCTCGGGATCTTGGGCACGCACGCACACGCGCCCGGTGTGAGTTTAAGCCGCCGGGTCCAGGACTCGAACCGCAGTCGACTACATAGGAGTCCAGTGACATAGCCATGACGCTAACTGCTGGTCCCCTCAGCACCTTTAATTTGGGCATGCTCAAGCCGGCTGGGGCTGGAGGCGGACAGCCGGTTTGGATGTAGCAGGCTTGTTACTTGACCCTGCAGGCCTCGGTCGGTCTTCAGTGAGTTCCCAGCCGCCTCTCCCTCCAGGTCGTCCCCTCCCGCCCGTTGTCAGCAACACCAACACGGTGGAATCATTTCCACCAGTGTGTGTTGTTTTTTCCTTGTTTTCCTCTCAATGAGGTGTTGGAAAATTCCCCAGAGTGGGGGGGATAGGGTGGAGGATCTCTATCTGTGGCCCACAGTCAAATACGTTGGCAGGGAGGTAGGGCCCATTTTCAGGGAGTCCACACCCTCAAGTGTTTCTCTGGGCAGTGTCTCTAAGAAATTAAGACTTCCAGGGACCAGCAGGTGGCATGGTGGTTAAGGCACTAGATTCCCACATGGCTGACTGTGGTTCAAGTCCCAGACCTGCAACTTGCTTTCTCAACGTTCGCTCTCTCTCCCTCTCTGGTCAAATTAAAAAGTTCTAATAGTTAATAAAATGAAATCAAATAATTAAGGGACCAGCAATTAGCATAATGGCTATGTTGCTGGACTCCCATGTAGTCGACTGCGGTTAGGGTCCCGGACCCGGTGGCTTAAACTCACGCCGGGCGCGTGTGTGTGCGTGCCCAGGATCCTGAGAGGAGAATGGAGGAGAAGGGATTGCGGCGTGGCCACCC